CCTGATTTTTATTTCCAGGAGAAAGAACTGGAAACGATATCGGAGTAGCAAGTGTTCCCCATATTTTCCCACTGAAAGAGAGAAAAAAAATTTGAATAATGAGCAAAATCCTATAGTTAACAACTTTCATTTAGCAGAAAGAGCCCCCCGATTCTGTCCATACAGGTCATTTATTGCACCCAGAGAAATCTTTGTAGTCACTACAAAAGTGCAGCTACCTCTGGGGTACGATGCAGCCGCTATTTAACTGTCACGTAACATGACAATCGAGTGTCCTATTAGAGCAAAAATTTAATTGTGAAGACGGGTACCATATTTAACTGCAATCCTGGGGGGAGTTTAGGTTGACAGGCTGTAATTACCCAAACTGGAACCTGGCCAGGACACACCTACTCTTTGCCAAAAGAGCTATGGGGGTTTCAACCACGGCAGGCGGGCCGGTGGAAGCTGCGGGTTCTGGAGGGTGGGGAATCGGCACTTGCGGCACCACAGCGCCCCCTAACAGAGCTCCGGGCCAGCGCAGGCGCTGCGGGGAGCCGGCCTCTCCTGACCCTCCGCACTCCCGGTGGCTTCCCAAGCCCCTCCCCGCGTCCACCTGGCTGCAATCCATCATGGGTTATCAGAAACTTTCCATTTAAGGCTGCGTGGCCGTGGATTCTGCAGGCAGGTTTTTGCTGGGTCTTATCTGTGTCTGTCTGTCTGTTTGGCCCTCTCTGGGTGCCTCTCCCCAGGTCCTGCTGTTTCTCTCTTATCATGACGGAAGTGCTTGTCCTGATAAAATAATTACCCACCAGAGCACAGTGGTTCTGATCACCAGCTGCTGTTTCTACATAGAGATCAATTAGAGGCATGTTTTCACTGGGGAAGTGGGTTGGTAGGGCCCGTTTACTAAAAATCCCATTAGGATTCTTACTGTGAAATGCATTATACTTTGGTCTTCCAATGCAGTTGCTACAGGCAAAAAGAAAAATTGGGCCAAGATGAGGTGGAAACGTGGCTTGCTGATGTCACTGAAGGGTTAAAAGGGAGAAAGTTCTGGGCCGCGAGCAGCAGTGTGAATAAATGCGGTCTTAATTTTAAGGTTATGGATTTTTTTAAAAGCCTTGCTTTTTGTCCTCAGAAGTCTTCGCATTCATATCAGTTAAAAAATAATTTAGACAGAAAATAAATGTTGCAGGAAACTCAAATTATTATGTGCATTTTAAATAAACCTTTGTTTTCTGCCGCAGACATAGCGCATGAATAATAACATTAATAATGATCACTATAATTTGTCAACTGATGATCTTTTCCCTCAGACCTTCCAGGCTCTTGGTTCCCAGCCCGGCTCTTTAACTTAGCCGATCCTCCTTCAAGAGGGGAGCTGATGATAACAGCCCTTACTCCCTCTGCAGGGTGGAGAAGCCCAAAAGCCCAGGGTTCTAGTCCCAGCTCTGCCCCAATTAGCTGTGTGACCTTGGGCAAGTTGTTTAACATCTCTGGCCAGCTGTCAAAGGACGGCATGGTCTCTCAGGGGGATGAGTGGAGCTGTAATGTGAAAAATGAACAGCAATGTAGTAATATCACCTGGGAAGATATTTTTTCCTTTTTTTTTAAAGATAAAAGTTCTGAAAAATAGAAACAGACTCAAAAAGAAACTTCAACAAAGCAGTTATTAGATGGGGCACAGGAGAAAGTTAGATTAAGACTAATTTTTCTTTTTAACGTATGGGATGTTTTCTGTTTCGTTTCTAAGGACACGCACACATGCATACACACATAGGTATACTTTGATCATAGGGAAATCCACTTAAAATGGTCACTTTTCTGCTTCCCTGGAAAGAGATTTTTATTGTGCTACAAAAGCAACAATAACAACATTGTAGTATTAGTTTCTATTTAATTCTTCTAATTGTATAAAACTGTCCAGATACTACCAATAGAAGAATAATATGTAAGGTTGAACCATATGAAATTGCCATTTCTAAAGGTCAAAAAGAGTTGAATATAAGAAATTTCATATGGTTCAAACCAAAATATATATATATATATGGTGTATGTATGTATTAATATATCTGCTTTATGACATATAATACAGCTGAGAGGAGTGTGATTCTTCTGTATTCTTATTTCTCTAGCAAATATTTTCTCAGTGAAAGATCGGTACGCCGTTCATATTCCTGTCCTCATACTAAGACGACATAAGACTTACTAACAGAAGACACTTCTTTAGCATCCCAGGTTACATTTCTAAACATGGGGACGGGCCCCGATTTGGTCCTATAAGAGTGGAACGAGAAGCTAATACGTTGGGAAGATCACTCAGAGGCACTAGCAGGGCTGCTGGCTCCCAGCGAAGGGAAAGGGTGCCCTGCACACCTGGGGACAGCGATCCCAGTGGAGTTGGCCCAGCGGGACCTCTTTGCACAGCTTCACTCAGAGGATTGAGATCATAATATATGTCCCTGGGGAGAGATGCTTTTTAGCAGAGTTTATTGGCAATTATTTTTTATTAGAGATTTTAAAAATTAAAAATACAAGTATTATACCCAAGAATGATTTCAGGAGCAACTCATGTAATAGAATGTTCCAGGATATTTTCAAAAGAAAAAGATGGGGCTGCTGGGGGTAGGGAAGCTTCCATGTGAGTGCATTCCAAAATGAGTAATGAAATAATACTTCCAGAGAGGAGCAATCAAATTTTACTTCCTTATTTTTATTTATGTACTTACGTCTTTATTTGTTGCTTCTCCCACCTCCGTAAAACAGCCAGAGTAACCAGACCGAGTGCTCCTAAAACACATTTTTCAATGGAGAGAACTATAAATTTTCATTGTGAAAAGTCAATACGTTATGGGAAAGTATAAAAGAAGAAAGTAAAAATCACCTGTAACCTCATCCTTCAAAAAGCATGATTTTAGAGCACTTTTACTGAGACTTTTTCTACACGCGCACACTTTAAAAAATGCTCAAAAGAAACAAATCATTCTACACCTCCAGTCTCCAACTTTCTTTGTTTCCTTTAGTGACACCTACATGTCATGGATACCTTTCCATATCAATAGGTATAAAGCTATTGACCTTTTTAAAGTGACCACATAGTATCCAACTGTATGCTTAACCAATCAGTCGCTGATACACATTTAGATAGCTTCCAGTTTCGCTACTATAAACCCCGCTGAGGTAACCAATCTTATCGTACACATCTTTGTGTACTTGTTTGATTATTCCTTAGGATTCATTCCCAGAGGTGGAATCTCTAACTCAAAGGACAAGGCTTCCGTTATTCATTGCCAAATTGCTCTCCAGAAAGACTGTGCCTATTTACAGTCCCATTAGTGGCAAATGTAAATACCCATTCCCGTTCACTTGGCCTGGTGATGATCTATATGTTTTATCTTTGCCAATCTGATAAATGAAGAATTATATTCATTCAGCCTCACTGGTAATCAAAGAGATGCCAAATAAAACAGCACATCTTTACATATGTAGTCAACTGGTATTTCTTCTTTTCTGGATTACCTACTTATGCCTTTTGCCCATTTTTCTATTTGGATATCCCTCACTTTCTTATTGATTGTAAGAGCACTTTACATATTAAGGGTCCTCTTCTTTCAATTGCCGTCTATGTAAAACATTTTTCCCAGTTTTTCATTTGTCCTTTCATTGTTTATGGCTTTTTATAGTTTTTACAATGCTGAAGTTTTTACATTTTTATGTATTAAAGCAGTGAACATTTTTCTTAGAATTTCAGTCTTCAGGGTCACTCTAGAAAGGCAACATATTTATCTGCATTTTATTTTTCCAGTTGTACTGAGGTACACGACAGTTACAGCTCTCTTTTCCCTCCAAATCACGTTTCTCGTTACTTTCCAGAGGTTCTGGAATGGAACCATAAGGGACCTTGGAAACCAGAGCAGAGGAAACATGACTATTAATAGTAACACTTGACATTTCTATTTTCAGTGTGCTATAGGATGACTAATTAGTCTCCCCTTCAACTTAGCCCCGAGGGTCACCCTGGCCGCCATTCGTTCACACTACAGGCCACTGAGGCACAGGACAGAGAAAGGTGTGGCATTCCACTTTGTGGGTAACACTCTACCTGGCCAGGACTTAAATCCAAGCTCCCCATCTGTGCTTAAATCAAGGTGAGGCAATTTCCTCCACAGAGACTGGTAGAGTCCCAGGATGCACTCAGCTGGTGGGGATGAGTTCTCTGGATGAAACTCCATGCTTTCCCTTCCCCCTCCCCCCAAAAGGGAAATCATATAATATATAGGAAGGTTTGCAACCTGGGGTTTTCTGACTTTAACTTGAGCCTCAGAAGGGATTGAACCACTTGTTAATTCACCGTTAGAATTTGACTATCAGGATGCCTACTGCAAGAGTTAAGGAAGACGAAGAAAACAGGGGGAAGTGAGTGGACAGAAAATGCCTTCTAACTTGGTGAAAGGTGTGCTCCCAAGGCCACCTCCCTTGAAACTCATTCCTACCACAAAGGTCAATTGCATGCTGGGAGCTGGGCTAGGGGCTGGGGTTTGGCAGCTGCAACGGAGTCTGACGTGTCCTGTTGTGTGGATTGTATGGACAGTACAAGGTTCTACAACAGCACAGAGGAGAGGCTTCCTGGAGGGGTGGCCTCTCTGCTGAGATCCGATAGATGCACAGGATTTCGTCAGGAAAGGGCAAATCTTTGGGGTGGGAGAGATGCAGGCAACATGCAAATGTTCGAGAGGCGTGGAGTGGGAGGGAAACCAGGAGAGCCAGATTCAGAAAAAATAAAGGCCTATAGCAGTGCTTCTTCTATTATCTTTGGAGAAGGACTAGGCTTTTTCCCCTCCAGTGTGTCACAGGCAATATTTTTGTAATCAGATGCAAGAAAAATGGATTAACACAAAATTAACAGACATTCAAAATACAAACTCCATTTTTATTATTAGATTCAGCAGGCAAAAATTATTGTCGAATTGCTATAAAAGTTTTGATTATTCTTAGTTTCTGTACTTATCTCGTTGCAGACCAGCAGCAGTTTGCCTTCTGGTACGGGTCCACAAAACTTGCTGTTTGAGCAGTGCTGAGCCAGAGCATTCTGGGAAGGAGATGGGGTTGGCAGTGTCAAATGCTGCCAAGGCGGTAAGTAAAATGCAGTTTGGTAATCCTTCGAATGTAGCAACAGATGCATAGTTGCAAAGAGCACTTTCACTGGAGTGGTTGAAGAGTTCAGCAGCATTCGCAGCGACTAAAAAGAGTGGAAGCGAAGATGAACTAAAACATGAAATGCTTAGTTAACCAAAAAATCTATGTTGTGGCAAGGAGTAAGGACAGATAGTAACCAGATAAAGTGCATCATGGAGTAGAAAATGTATCAGTTTTTCAAGAGTCTGTGGACCTAGATTATCTAGTGGAGCCAGGCAGTCGTAAGCTGTGTGACCTTGGGTAAGTCATTCACCCCACTCTGGTCCTCAGTTTCCTTCTCTGCCAAATGAGGGGATTGTGCAAGATCCCTTCTCTGTGTTTGCTTCCCACTTTTGCATTCTATGATTTTAGTGTTAAATAATCACTGTAAATATTGATGCTTCTCAAAATGGTACAATCTCGGGGGAGTCACTGAGTTCTGTTGAATCTGGCTGTGCATCTTCAAGAGCTCATCCATTGCCTGCAGCCAGGTGCCAGCCAGCCAAAACTTTCTCACTTGGTTACGACTAGTAAGACGAACCTGTCCCCCAAACATTAGCAACCAGAGTACGTGCTAAGATCCTACATGTTCATGCTGTTGGTGTAGAACCCACTTCAGGGTTTAGCTGGGAAGGAGAAGAAAGCATCCTTGAGCTGCTCTGAGCTTTGAGAAAACCCAGAGCAAAGGTGGTGGGAGAGTGGGAGTGGGGAGCAAAGTCATGGATGTGATGCAAGCTGGGCAGGGGTCGGGGAGACTCTGCAGTGGGGCGATTTTTCCTTTTCTGCCCAAACCCCTCTGAAGTGTCGGGGACTCTGGCTGGATCATTGGTCCTCATCCTTGTCCTTTCTGTAGCTAAGAAATTGACCTGTCATTCTGTCTTTACAGTCCCTGATATCACAGCGTCCAAATTCAGCAAATCATGAAGTGTCCTGCAGGTCTTTCTCACATCCACTGTGTATTATCTTTGAACGTCACTCCTAGCTTTATAGACATTACTAGGACTGTCTCCTGCATTTCCTTCTGGGCAGAATTAGCAGAGGCACTGTGTGATCACAGACACACACACACACACACACACACACACACACACACACACGCTTTGTTCAGTCAGAGCAAGCAGTCCAGTGGGCCCAGGTAAACAATGAATTGCCACGTGCTCCCTGCAGAGTAGCTTCCTGATAATGGGCAGGGTTGAAAGCAGGGGCTGTTTTCTGTGGGTCCCCTCGTAGCTTCATATCGCTCTCTGCCCATTACGTGAAACTGGAACAAGCCATTTGGGTGGTTGCAGCCACATCTGGCTGAAGTGCCCAGCTGTTACTCTTTCCTCTCTCTGGTTCCCAGTCCCCGTGATGTGGGCTCATTATGGCTGTGATGGTTGCTGATGACATTAACGCACTGTGCTGCTTCTCCATCACACGTGCCATCTGCTCCCATAAGCCCTGTGGGGTAAGTGGTAGGTAATTGTTTCCCATCGGTAGTCAATTTTCTCAGATAAAGGATGCAAGATTCAAAAATAAACATCCGCTTTGAGCCCTTGCAATGAGGCCAGTGTGGATCTGGGGGCAGTCACCCCATCTACTACGAGTAGTGGGTGAGGCTGCTTTCCCCGTAATTCAAGTCGAAGGGCAATTTGATTCATTAACAGTGGCTCTGGGAGACGAAGAGGTTCAGAAAGAGAGCAGAGGCACAAAAAAAAAAATCCCTGAGAGTTCTTATAAAGCAGCAGGGTCAGTGCAAGAGAGAAAGGGAAAGATGGAGAGAGAAATTGGTGATCCATCAGCGAAGGCTTACTCGTGGATGGGAATGAAAGATAAGAGCCCATGTAGTTTTAGCAGTGGGAAATGGGCTTGGGCTCCATGACCTCAGCTTCTTAGCTGTTGTTAGCTATGGCTTCGGCTCTCTCACCGAGGACCTATAGGTTCCAGACCAGAATTGAAAGTGCAGCATGTCAGGGAGTGCCAGGCACGGCTGAGAACACGGGCACGCAGAGAGCATAAGATGGGGTGACGCCAAAGAGGAACCAAAAGGCCAGCTTATGGAAATTATGACAGGAGAAATGTGATTTAGCTGCATCCTCCCAGACTCCCAAGATGATTGATAGGGCTTGATTTTTTTTTTTTTAAGGAAATCGCATCCTGTGGTTCACTTTTAACCTGTTTTCCCTTAAGAACTGCCACACAGCATCCTCGGTTTGACTTTCACCTCCCCTCAAAGCTCATCCCCACATACATCAGTCATTTATTCAACAAATACTCATTGCTCTCCTGCCGGCTGCCAGGCGCTGTCCTCACTGGGAGCTTGTTATGGGCCTCTGGAGCTGGGCAGGCCCAGGTTTGCCATTTGCTGCTGCAAGTCTGTAACCCCTCCGAACTTAACGTTTTTGGATCTCTACAGTGGGGTAATTGTACCAGTTTCCTGTGATTGTTATGAGAACCAAATGAGACTATGTGCCGCTCAGGCCAGAGGCAGAAAAGGCCCTCGATAAACATGGGGGCTGAGATGACGAGCATCCCTCCTTTCCCACACCAGACCTGTCTCTTCACATCCTTTCATCCGTGTGGTCCTCTCATGCCTCCTCCACTAGCTAGGGTCTGCTGCCCGCATCTGCTCAGGCCCTGATTTCATACCGACTGTGCCCAGCTGCTAGTCCCTACTTTTGGGAATGGCCCCATCCCTCCTCGGGGCAGGGTGAGAGCAGAGCTTTCCTCCCTGGGGCAGCTGAGCTGGTCTGGAGGGGTCGCCTTTCAGCAGCCTTCCTGCCCACCCAGTGCTCCTGAGTTAGGAGGATTCCCGAACACCAGGCTTGCTCCAATTGCAGTCAGTCCCGCTAATTGATTCATGTTATTTTATTTTCTGTACCGGTGGTTAGGGCCTCAAGCAATTTTATGCAAATTAATGAACCTTATGCAAATGAGGGCATCCCTAGACTAATTGCATACAGAATGGAAGCTTTGTGGGCACCTCCCCCATGCAAGTGTGCCCTGACTCCTTCTCATCCTTTAAATCACTCCTAAACTCCCCCAGCTCCACAAGCCCCCAAGATCAACAGCCTCCCCTTCCACCAGCCTCCCCACCTGCGGGCTCCTGAGCAGCCAGTTTGGAATATTTGAGGTACTGTGTCAGCCCTGTTTGCAAGGGCTGGTGGCTGCCTGGTGTCCCAGGAAACCATAGCCTTGCGGGATACCCCTCCCAGCTTGTTTTTACTTTAAGTAAGTCATTTGAATCCCACCCAGCTTCCTTTTCCAACTTTCCCAGGACAGGTGAGACCAGCCCAGGGCAGCCTGGAACCTGCCAGAGGTTCACAGAGCTGACCTGATGTGGCCGCTTTGGGTAAGAGCAGGGCTGTGTGGGGCCCTTCTATCTCCAGGGGACCCTGTCGCCAATGTTGGGCCCATTTTTGGTCCCAGCACATTGACAACTAGTCCTCAGGAAGGTGCTGTCTTAAGTGGGGTTCCCTAGAAGCAAGCAGAGCCTGAGGTAGGGATTGAGGTGTGAGTGGCTTGTTGGAAGAGGGTTCTCAGGAGAAGCCTGCGAGGGAGTGAGGGAAGCAGGATGGGGCAGGGGAAAGCTGGACGGATGTGGGTTCAGAGAAGTCTTGACTTAGCCTGATCCCTTGGGGAGCTCTGGAGTTGCCCACCTTGAGGCAAGGGGGTGGGTTTGTACCACTTCCAGCCCCTGCTTAGAGAGGCCTTGGCTGTCAGTAGCCCCAGGGGGCAGAGGTGGTAATCTCCCAGGCATTTGGGGGCAAGGGGGCTCCCATCTGAGAAGGGGTCAACACACAGCAGTTGGGGGATGGGTGTGCCAGCCCAGGTCGGGCACCAATGTGCATCTCTACAAGCACCAAATGAAATGCTAGGTCATGACCACTGAGATCAAGGCCTTTCCATTTCTTTGTTTGTTTAACCTAATTTAACATCCCTGTAAAGCAGGCATTTAAATCATCCCCGTTTTATAAATACGATAACTAGTGCTCAGGGCAAGTTGCCACCTTCTTCCAAGGTCATATGCCCAGTGAACCTCCTAGACAGAAGAGGGATTTGAACGTGGACTCACTGACTTTCCCTGGGGGGGCCTGTCTGGCCTGGCCGTGGGCCAGGACCTTTGTATCCAGCCCCTCAGATGTCCAAGGTCAGTATGTGCCACTTCAGAGCTCTTACACACCTAGCTTTTTCTCAAGAGCCCTCTTTCCCTATGGCTCCTTTTTACGGAATCCTTCCTGGAAATGTGGTTAGGGGTGTGTCGGGGGTACTGAGGTCATAGCCAAGCTTTCCCATCCCCCTTCCTCTCCTTCTAGATCCCGTGGTCCCATTTCCCCTTCCCCTGTCACCCCTTCTCCTCCCTTCCTTCCCCTCTTGGACCCCTTACCCCACCTTCGTTTCCTCCTCCTTTCTCCCCTTTCACTCCCTTCCCTCCAGCTTTGCCTCCCCCCTCCCCCCTTCCACTTCACCCCCCTTTGCCTGCCTTTCTCCTCCCCCTCCTCCTCCCCCACTCTCCCTTGCCATCCCTCCCTTCCTTTCCCTTCCCTTTCCACCTCCCCTTTCCCCTCGTCCTTTCCCTCTCATGCATCCCCTTCCCCGTTCCTTTCCACCCTCTCTTATTTCCCCCTCCTTTTTCCTCCCCCCCCATTTCCACCCCCATCACCTCCCTTCCCCTTTCTTTCCATCATCTTCCTATTCCCTTCCTTCCTTACCACGCCTTCACTCCCTCACCCCCTCCCCGCCCCCCTGCCTCCCAGAGGGCCGACACCCCCTCCCCAGCCCTTGCCCCTAGATGAGCCAAAGTCTGTCCGTCTCAGCCCAGGACGGATTATCCAGACTAGGGTGCGAGGCACGCTCTGCACTGAAGGCAGCATCTCAGCTCTGGGCGCTCCCGCCCTCTCCCCGCCCGCTGGGGGAAGGGAGCGGGAAGGGAGGCCCTGGGCCTCCCTGAGTCCGGGCCGGCGCTTGGCTCGCCGGGC